CCCCCCCCCACTCTCCATCGATTCATGTCTATTTCCTTCTTTTCTCAATGATGAGAAGAGGATGAGGATGAAAATGGGTCCCAATGTCGCAACAATAGGAATATCGATGTTCCGAGTATGAAGCTTTGTTGTGGTTATTCGTTTCTTTCCTGCTTTCCATCTCAGTTTTTTCTTTTTTTCTCTTGATTTCTTTTAGATTATTTTATTGTTATCTGTCGTTCTTTTTCTTTTTTTTTTATTTACATTTTTTGTTTTTTTTTTTTTTGGTATTTTTTTCCATTCAGTTGAGTAAATCCAATCAATCAACCATTTTTTCTGTGTTAAAATGTCGATTTGTTTTACAAGGATTTTGTTTTTCTAATATTTTTCTTAGTTTTGTTATACGTTTTTGTTTATATAATGGTTGGATGTGTGTAATGTAAGTTTGTTGTGTAAGGAGAAATTGATAAAATGTAACTGTAACGATGTAACGATCTTCAAAGATGTTTTTTCATTTTGTTGTTGTTGTTGCTTTCATTGGTTTTTTTTTTTTCTTTCTTTTTAGGTTAGAATATATCATATAACGTTGAACTTTTGTAAAAGATTTGTTGTTAATCTTTAATTATACTTCTTTTTTTTTTTCATTATTGTTTAATCTATTATAATATTAAAATAAGAATTAATTAATTACAAGATAAAGTTATATATATATATATATTTATATATTTATTAAGTTATTATAGAAATGATAAATGTATATTGTGTAAAGTATGATAGATCTATGATAGATTAATGATAAACGATTTGAAATTTCACGTCAATCGAATTTCTAAACAACTTTATTATTAGACTTACCATTAAACTGGATAATTTGTGTCATAGATAAGATCGAACGGTAGAATATGGTGGGAATGGTTGTAACGTTCGGAAAGAAAAAAAAAGAAAAAGAAAAAATAGAAAAATAGAATTGATTCGTTGTATAACATCGAAAATACGATGTCAACGACTAGATATTTTGTAGTAGTAAAACCACTATTGTCCTGTATTTCTAAAGATGAATGTCTTGTTCACCACGGGTGGTTTCCAATGGTGTTGACTACTACCCTACACGAATCTCTCAAATATAATATATATATATATGTCAATTTCTTATGGCGTGATTCAAATCACTAAATTCCTATCCCCCATTTTTATAAAATTGACTTAAGAAATTCAAAAAAAAAAAAAAATAAAATAGATTTAGAATTTTTGTCGTTATTTAACGTTAGTTGACGTACTTTAACACTTTTCATTGAAATGAGAATAACAAAATGAATGAGGAAAATGTTGAAATAACGATTGATATACTTTACTCGTGGGAAATTTTTCTTTTTTCTTTTTTGAAAATATATATTTACCAAAGTCATCCCATATCAATCATAAAAATATATTCCGCGTAACAAATGACATCCCCTTTTTTCCTTTTACAGGACATTTTACAGGACACGTTTGTCACTTCTTCTTTTTTTCTTCTTTTTTTTTGTCAGTATCCTTCAGCAAAAGAACAAATGTGCTGCTAGCCACTCATTATTTTAGGATACTACAGATTTGTTTTTCTTAAGGAATTCCGTTGATCTTTTATATTAGTTGGTTTATTTTTAACACGGTAAAACAGATCTTATTTTCTTTCATTTATTTTCTTGTCTAATAACAATGATCATTGTTTTTTTCTTCTTTTTTTTTTTGTAGAATATTTGCAATATATTAAACAATGCTTATTACAGAGGTTATGTTTAAAATTACAATATGTACTAATTTTTAAATGATCTCTAATTGATTTTCAATTGAATTATTGAAACAAGAAATAAAAGTATTTTACTTCTCGTTAGAGTTTTAATACTAAACTTAAACAATGAATATTTAAATAATAATTATAATATTGTTATTGCAAAACAAAGATAAAACTTATACAGTATATCAAATAACTTCTAAGTGAACTTCAATTGTTTGAATAAATGAATCAACAAGAATTCTTCTCATTTAACTGAATAAAACAAAATGGAAGATTGTATCCTTTTGAAAGTAGACACACACACACACACACACACACATAAGCTTATCATCGTTAAATTAGTATATAATAAGGATGAGCATAATGGTTAAAAAACAAAAGTAACAAGATTTGAAATAAGAATTAAGAAAAAGTATGAACAGGTGAGGTTAGGTTAGGTGAGAAGGGTGGTGGTGGTGGTGGGATAATAGGGGAACACGTGTAGAAAGACTGTAACAGACATTAACTGCTCTTACGGCTTATCTACGAGGAAAAATTGATTTACGGTACCCCAGTCGAGGAGGTTACGAGCGTAGCGACGGTGTATAACTGGCATGGTTAGAAGCTACTTACTACAAAACTTGGATAGAGTTTCACGGACAAGTATGTTTTTGCTTTACTTAAATTCTATACTCTTGGTATATAGAATGTCCTGTCCTGGCGCTCTCTCTCTCTCTCTCTCTCTCTCTCGTTTAACGGGGCAAAGAGAAATCGACGTAGTTGTGTTGTTGCGTTGGGTGTTCTAAACAAAAAACAAAACAAAAACAAAAATACAAGCAATACAAATTGAAAATAAATGAATAATCTTATCTCTATAAAATTGCCCTGTCACAGTGTTTGTTATTCCTATTCTCCAAAACCACTTGACCGATTTATATGAAATTTTGTATGTATATTCGGTAGATATGAGAATAGTTTTTCGTATATTTCTTATACCCCTGAGTGATAAGGGTGATCTACCAGATTTATTATTCCTTTAAAAGGATATTAACCGTTTGAGTGCCACGGAGCGATTTTGCGCTTCTCCTCTGTCTCTCGAACAGTGCCAGCGCTCTAGGCTGCGAAACCGATAATCGCGACACGCTCGGTTTTTGTCGATGCGCGACTTTAGCGCAATAGCGCTCCTTGGCATTCTTGAAGAGGGAATAAGACAAGCGCTATCGCGCCGCTGGGCACTTTTGGACGGGAAAACAGCAAAGACACGTGGCACTCAAACGGTTAACCGTTTGACTCCCAGGGGGTTTTGAAAAAACACTGTCGAGGAATCCCAATTAGCGCAACTGCGCTTTTTTTAAAGGAGTAAGAGAAGACCCAAGCAGCGCGATAGCGCTACTTGTATGCATTTGTTTTATATATATGAGCGCACCGTCAGTTGTCTACAATGCTCGAAATGTACTGGGTTTTTTCAACATAAAATGTGAACAGCCCGATCGCGCTGCTTGGGACTCAAACGGTTAAGAAAAAAAAAGAGAAGAAAAGACTAATGTTATGTGTCTATATTCAGACAATGTAAAATTATATGATGTGAAGTAAGTGGTGATCTTATGTTACTGCTCATGCGCAGTTGGTTCGATATTAAGAAGAAAGAGAAAATGAAGGCAAATGTTATGTGCGTAATTATGTGCAAAAATAAGGTTAATTTCACTAATGGCGAATATATTTTAATAAACGTTAATATACATTGTTTGATTTAATTTAAATAAATATCGTTTATATATGTCTTTTGATATGTTTTAATTGATCGTAAACGTACTTTTATTTGGGGATTGCGAAAATAGAAAATATATTTACACTTTATTTTGTTTGTTTGCGTTCAAATTGAAATAATAATAATAATAATAATAATAAAATATCCACGTAGGTAACTGGAAACTTTGAAAAAAAACGAAGAAATCCGACAAAAAAAAAAAAATGGATTCCAACGAAAAATGCAATTGCAAATCATTCGTTTGGAATCTATTTGATATGAAACACTGTATGATTGGTTGGATTTCTTCTTTTTTTTTTTTCAAATTAACCAATTACATTTAAGATTCGTTTAACGTTATGTAACGAGATATGAAATTATTTTGAATATTCTAACGAATAGCGAGTAATATTATTATATTATAGAATTGCTTCTTTTTTTTTGTTTTTTTTTTTTTTTTTTAGCTAATTCAACTCTTTCGACACACATCATTGTCCTTTTATCATGGACAAAGAAAATACATGAATACACGCATACACGTAACACAAACACATATAATCAGATCACATTACACAGTAGTAAGTTGCGATAAAGGATTCGTCGAAGAATCATTTCATCTAAAAAAAAAATTTCTTTCAAACAACGATCACTTTTTTTATCATACTTCGAAATAAAGATTCGATAAGAGATTTTTATCGTTTCTCCATGTAATAATAATAATAATAATAATATTAAAGAATGAATAAATCGTTAAATCAAAAGCACACAATAGAATTTCAACAACAACAAAAAAATATCAGCGATAAGGTAAATCACAAATAAACATGGATACAAATTGCAGATACGCAATTCTTTTTCATTTTCTTATACGGATTTATTATAGAATAATTCTATGTCGTTATTTTATCATCGGTCCACATTGTATTTATTATTATTTTTTTTTTTTTCTTATCACGAAAAATAAAATATAATTTTACAAATATTCCTACATTATTATTATTATTATTATTATTATTATTATTAATGTCGTTATAATTGGGGAAGGTAGAAACAAAATTATAACTAGAGATACGTCTGATTTAAGGTAAACATGGCTAAAGTAACGTACATATATAAGAAAGAAAAAAAGAAGAATGGTTGGAGAGAGAGAGAAAGAGAGAGAGAGAGAAAGAGATGATAATAATTCGACCAACGGCGATGTCTCGTTGCGTTCGATCTGTTCTTTTACAAAGAGTGAAAGAGAAAAAGAAGGAAGATGAAAATAATGGATAAAAGGAGAGAAAGAACAAAAATATAAAAAGGATAGATAAAAAGAGATAGAGAGAGAGAGAGAGAGAGAGAGAAAAATACAGATAGAGAGAGAGATAGAGAAAACGTGTGAGAGAGAGAGAGATAAAACATTAGGTTATATACGATGGGAAGGAGGATTCGTAGAAGAAGGGGGGGGGGAAAGATCTAAAAAAGGAGAGATAGACAACTAGAAAGAGAGATAAAGAGAGTACTAAAAAGAGAGAGAGAGAGAGAGAAAATGAGATACGCAAGGGTCGTAGGAGTAAAGAGAAGTAGTTAACGAGGCTTATTTAGGAACGTGTTCGTCTCGACCAATGATAATACGGTATGGTGGTCGCGGTCATGCCTAGTATCCAATCCCAGTACAAAGAGGGTAGACGTCGCGGAGACCACGCCCCAGCCAATAGGAGGCCGCGCAGTAGTACGGTCGCTTTGGGAACGCGTTTAACCGAACAGTATCGTTCGGTGCGCGCGTAGAAGAACGTGTCAGAATTTGAACGCGGTTCTCGGATAAGAGAGAAAGAGGGATCATCCATCGATTGTGCACGCGCGACGCCCTCTCTCCTCCCTTATTTATATCTCTTTTCTTTTTTTCTTTTATATATTTTAAAATATATATATATATATATGATTATATTCGTGATAAATTAATTAACGTTCCGACAAGTATATAGTACGTATTATTCATTAATACACGCGTGGTTCGTTCGTTTGTTTTTTTTTTTATATATGAAAAAAAAGAAAATAATTTATATGCACATCCGTGAGAAGTTAGTTATTGATCTATTGTTTTTTACATTTGATGAAAATCGAATGAAATTATTTCTGTTGTATCTCGAAGAGAAGTCGTCGTCGTCGTCGTCGTCAATCAAGAGTGAAGATTTTCGAAGAAGATAATAATATTGTGAAATTGTTGGTTTGTCTTGAAGAAAATTAGTGTAGTTTTGTAATATAAGAAGAGAAAGAAGAGAATAGAAAGAGAAAGAGAGAGATTAGAAGAGAGCAATGGAAGAGAGAAACTGTGGCTGTCTTTAAAACGTTTTCTAATAATAGGATGCGCGCGAGTGTACTAAAGCTCCTATAAATATACCCACCACCGCCCGTGGAAATTCGAGCCCGTGGACTTGGCGGTGCAACCTGCCGTACTTACCGGATATTAAAAATTTAAAAAGAAAAATAAATAAAAAAACAAGAGAAGAAAGAAGAAGTAGAAAAAATGAAATAATAAATGAATAGAAAAGAAAATATGAATTATTAACATGTTATTATTGAAGTAAGTAAGCGACGGACGCGACAACGGGTGGTTGGTTGGTTGGTTATGGTTGTCACATCTCGTGTGTTGTGTTGGTACTTTGAAGTTATATCTTTTAGTGTCATATCATTAATGAATATATTATCGAATGATAGATATAATAGGATCATTGGAAAGAAATATGCGGTATTGGTATTGTTCGTAATAAATGTGTTACAAAAAGGTGTTTTTATAAATAATAATAATTAGAAGAAGAAGAAGAAGATATATAGTTGTGTGTAAGAACGGGAAAACACCATCAGAAACAGCAGTCAGTTACCGGTCGTTTTCTCTATCAGCGATGTTCTAAAAATACCACCAACACCAACACCACCACCACCATTATTCTCTTGTCTCTTACGTTTACGAAAAGTTTCCGCGTTCCGTGTTCCATTCATTCATGTAAATGAAAATTGACTTTTCATGATTGATAAAAAAACAAAGAAGAAAAAGAAACAAACCCCACTTAGCAAAGTGTTAACACCAACAATCGAAGATCATCACATTACATCGTGTCATCTTTGACGTTTGTCTTTTCTTTTGTTTTCTTTTATTTATTTATGTGTCATCTTTCCATCGTCGTGCGTATAATAAACAAATAAAAATTTAACAAACAAACAAACAAACAAACGTATATACACGACGTTTAATTATTACATTCAATTGAAAATAAAAATCAAACGACGAAATGATAATAATCAATCGATACGTCAAACGTATTGTCATTCGCGAAAATTCGCGAAGTTTGCTACGAATGAATAATATGCCGCGAACTTCAAATCGTTGTGCAGAAAAGCCGCGAAAATGTCGTTCAATTGAACTATGGAAAAGTGTTTAAGAAGAAGAAAAAAAAGAAGAAGATAAAAGAGATAATAATTCTCGTATTAATTAAATAAATCGAGAGATATTAAAAGTGATTTTTTATAAACACTGCATGTCAGTGTAATAAAATAAAAAAGAAGAAAATACAAATAAAAAGAGAAAAACAAGAAGAAAAAGAAGAAAACAGAAAATAGTGTGTGTAAATAATAATAATAATAATTAATAATAATAAAAAATAAGAAATCAAAGTGAAAGAAGAATGACGCGATGATGGCCTACGGAGGAAGCGGTGGTAGCGGTGGTGGAGGTGCGATGGGACCCTCAGCTGGTGGCGGAGGTGGAGGTGGAGGCGGTGCTGGTACGGACGTTTTAGGGTCTACCAGCAGCGATTATAGTCCTCAAAGCACGCCGACGCCACTCTCGGCTTCGCATTCGTCCACTGGTGTCGAGGCTGTTGTTGCTGCTACGAGCTATGGTACTGGTACCACCGGGACTACCAGCAATTACAGTCCCCAGGACAGTCCCGCAAGCTCGGCGGGCGGTGCTACCAATGGACAACTTCCGACTTTTGGTTTCACCCAGGAACAAGTTGCTTGTGTTTGCGAGGTGAGTCTATTTTTTCTTTTTTTTTTTTAATAAATAATAATAATAGTAAAAATAATTAACATCGGTTAGTCATTTTTTATTATAAATTTTATATATATATTAAGCAGCTCGTTGATTCACCATTTTTTTTATTATATATATATATACAGTTTATTGTTCTAAGTATTGTCCAATAGTTTTTATTTTGTTTCATAATATTCTAATATATGACACACACATACACACACTATGTTTGTAATTTCGATATTAAATTGTAAAAATTGTTATTAGTTTTATTAGATATAAGTTATATAATGAAATTTCAATATTAATGATAGTGTACTACGTTGTTCAGTTATTTCAGTTAGTAACTGTTTTAGTATTTAAATAACGTGTCATTTTGTTTTTATTATATAAAAATTACTTTTTTAAACATTGATTGATATAACATGTCTCATTTAAAATACATGTGAATTATGAATGTAGATAAAAAGTTTGTTTCGAATTATCTTTCACATTCTCGGTATATCTATCTATATAAATTAAATATCTTTATAGTCAGATAGAAATATATGTTTAAACGTATATGGACATCATATATCACAAAATTGTCAAGTATTCTTGGCAATCATTGTTATCATTGTGAAATCATTGGAACGTTGATTGAATTTGTTTCGCACTTAACGTTAGAAATCATTCCAACGAGGGGGAAGGGAGTGAGGGGTGAGGGGTAGGGGGAGGGGAGGGTTTGGAGAGGGTGATAGTTATCTATGCGTGTGTTTAGATTGTAGAATAATTTATCTATTTTTTTTTAATACTAATCCCATATTACTATAGTCCAGTCGTCCAATAAACGATGTAAGACAATTTTGATTAGATTTACATTTGAAAATAAAATTCACTTATTATATCTTGCAATATGAATATTGTTGTTGTTCTATTAAAACAAACGACAACACAATATATCAGTATTTTTTTTTGTTTTTTTTTTTTTTTTTATTAAAATAAATAAAATAATACTATAAGGTGTTGAATTTTTTTTTGGAAACATTTCTGTAATAATAATATTATTTGTGTTTTATTAGAAATACCAGGTAGAATTATTATACGGTCAGTATACACAATTACTAAAATAATATTTTACAACTGTATTAGTTTTATATATTGAAAAAAAAAGAAAGATAAAAAAATAGTTACAATCTAACCTATAAAAAAAAAAGCAAAAAAAAATGCACGAAGAATTCGCAGGGGGAATATATATACCCATCGATCAAGGTATAATAAACTCTGTATATATGCGAGCTGCTTTTTTTTTTTTTATTCTTTTTTTTTATTTTTTTAGATTTTTAGATTTTATTTTATTTTTTATTTTTTTTTTTGGTCTTTTCTACTTTTATGCGGTTCTATCAAATTGTTAAGCAATTATTTCTACGATAGAATATCGAATACATGTTATAAATAACACCCTCGCCCTCGCCCTCAACCCCCCACCCTTCGTTTTTTTTTATTCTTCTTCAGTTTTTTAGTTTTCAAAGAAATCTAACACTCGCCATATATATATATTTTTTAAAACTATATACTATACACATATATATACACACACACACATATATATGTAAAATACAGTGATATTTTCATCAAGATAGAAACGAAAAAAGAAAATCGATACGATAAACGTTTAGAGATCTATCGAGCCGTCCTTTCTTCTTTTTTTTTCTATTTTTTTTTTCTTTTTGTTTTTTTTCTATTATTTATTATTCGATCTGCAAATACTCGCAGCAATCGGTCAAACTGTAATAAATAAAAAAAAAATAAAAAAAGAGGAAGAGATAAAAAAAGATCTATGTAGGAAACATGTGTTTTGGTTTAACACACGAAAGGAACGCGAACCGCCGAGGGGATTCCCCCTTGTTCAAATGTTCACATTTTCACACCATAAAAAATAAAAAAGGGGTTTCTTGTTTTCTTTGTGATTTTTTTTGTTTTTTTCCAGTGTGTCATTTTCTTTTCTCAATCTTTGGATATAGGATACTAAAATAAAAAGGTCCTTTTGTTTCTTTCTGATATATATATAATAGTATTTATATGTATTTGTAGGTTAGGACTCTGGAGGGATATGTAAAATTGAAAGAGAGTTGTTGCTTGGTTGGTTGGTTGATTTGATTGGTTGGTTGACTTGCATAAGTTCATCGAATTGAAATTACGAGTTTAATCTAATCGAGTTTAATAAACGACAGTGATTTCACACTCTCTCAACCATGACTATGCGCACTTAATTAAATTATTCGAAATATTTTCAATGATGTTTCTACTTTTTTTGTTTTTTTTTTGTTTTTTTTTGTTTCGTCTAAATTTTACTTTTAATTTAGGATTTGTAAATGATAAGAATATTCGACGGTTTTTTTCTTTTTTTACTTATCTCTTAGTCTCCTCTCCAGTTCCTTGAATATTTTTGTTGTTGTTGTTGTTGTTGTGTTCGGTAAGTGTGTGTGTGTTGGATCGTAGAAAATGTTATGAATTCAATGAATGTGCATTGCTGTATCATACCACACAACCAACATGGTTGTGTATCCAATCGGTGGGTTTAACACCCGTGCCTATTTATATGTCGGAACTCCACTTGATCGTGAAAGGAAGAAGAAACAATCGAATCCATTTAGAATTTCAATGGCTAAAAACTATCCCTTCTTCTACTTCTACTTCTACTTCTACTTCTACTTCTTCTCTCTTTCTTTATCATTCGATTTCTAAAACGTGCTTGTTAATCTAAACTTCTGGGGTGAAGAGGGGAGGATGGAAAGAGAGAGAGAGAGAGAGAGAGAAAACAATGTGTTCGATTAGATTGTTTATGAATAATAATATTAATTATAAAGTGAGGTTATTTTTCGTTCGTGCGTAAAATACTTTGTATAAATTTAAATATTCTCTTTTTTGTTTTTTTTTTTTGAACGACGAATTCATTTGGTTAAACGTTTATTGAAATTTAAATGAAAAAAAAAAAAGAAAAAAATATTTTTCGAATTATTCGAGTGTTTCATTTGATTCGCGTAGTACTTTTCAGTTACGATAATGAATGGCAAATTGTTTTTCGAACAACGAATTAATTTACGTTTACTGAAAATTTATTTAAAAAAAAAAAACAAGAAATAAATATTTTTCGATTTGATTCGAGTAGTATTTCGATTTGATTCGCGTAGTACTTTTCTTTTTTTCCTACTTTCGATATCGGACGGTAAATTGTTTTTCAAACGACGGAATTTATTTAGTAAAGTTTATTGTAATTTTAAAAGAAATAAATAAATATTGAAGTATTCGAATCTTTCATTTGATTCGCGTAGTACTTTTCTTTTTCCTATTTTCAATAACGGGCGGCAAATTGTTTTTCGAACAACGAACTAATTTAAGTTTACTGAAAATTTATTTCAAAAAAAAAACAAGAAATAAATATTTTTCGATTTGATTCGAGAAGTATTTCGATTTGATTCGCGTAGTACTTTTCTTTTTTTCCTACTTTCGATATCGGACGGCAATTTGTTTTTCGAACGACGGAATTTATTTAGTCAAGTTTATTGCAATTTTAAAAGAAATAAATATTGAGGTATTCGAATCTTTCATTTGATTCGCGTAGTACTTTTCTTTTTCCTATTTTCAATAACGGGCGGCAAATTGTTTTTCGAACAACGAACTAATATACGTTTACTGAAACTTTATTTAAAAAAAAAAAAGAAATAAATATTTTTCGAATGATTCGAGTAGTATTTCGATTTGATTCGCGTAGTACTTTTTCTCTTTCCTATTTTCAATAACGGGCGGCAAATTGTTTTTCGAACAACGAACAAATTTGGTGATGTTTATTGAAATTTTAAAAGAAATAAATAAATATTCGAATTATTCGAGTGTTTCATTTGATTCACGTAGTATTTTTCCCTTTCCTACTTTCGATAACGGGCGACAAATTCAAATATTTTCGTACTCACGCGTAAACGTATAATTTTGACGTTTCTCGGAATATCAAAATATTAATAATTATATCTCATTTGAATCGCGTAGTAACGTGGATAAATTTAAAATAAAACCAAAAATACGTTAAATTTAAATTCAAAAATAAATACATATCAAATGGCTGAATACAAAAACGAAGGAAAAATGTATTTAACGTCGGAAACAAGAAAGAGAGAAGAAGAATTGTCTTTGAAAATTCGAAAATAGATAAAGATAATAAAAACAAAAGATAAGTTTTAGATTAAAATACTTATTTGTCAAAAGTATTTTAACGTTCGCCAAAGTATCATCATCCAAAGTGCACGGAGGAGGAGGAGGAGGAGGAGGAGGAGGAGGAGAAGGAGGAGAGTCACACGTATTTAATAGAGTTCCTACGAGTTTTACTGCAACCCGTAAATTGTTTCGCGTTAGACATTTACGCGTTTCAAACCGAATGACTAGAAGTAGAAAAAGAAAGAAAGAAAGAAAGAAAGAAAAATGAAAAATGAAGAATAAAAGAAGAGGAGTAGTAGGAGGAATAGAATAAAGAAGGGGGGTTTAGGAGGGGTGTAAGGGGTTAGGGGGAGAAATAAAACGACAAGAACCGACCCACACACGTTTGTAACTAGCCTAAGCTTTGTGTCGCTTTTATATTACTACTAGGCACCATCGGATTTACAACGAACAATTTTCTCTCTTTCTTCATCTATTTATCTATCTATCTTTCTCTTGCTTATTTACTCTCTTTCTATCTTGTTAAATGCAAGTTGGTCAAATTGCTATCGCGTGACGTATGACGTTCACCTCGTGTAGTTTATTATTTTCATAGGTTAGATTGTTATTTCCCTTTTGGTAGGTATGGAAAAATGATCTTTATGATTTAAATGATAAAATTCACGATGAACATTTAGATCTTATTTCAATCATCTTTGAATATTTTTATCTTTTTCCGTTTCTATATATATATATATGTATAAAGATAAAACATAACACGTAACAAGATGAAATTTTGTATAGTATTATCTCGTATGTTTTGTTATATTATTATATTATATATATATATATCGTATATATGTTTCGTGTATATATATTTTTTACCCCAGGGAATTTATATTATACACCCTTTTTATTGTATAGTTCTTTTTTTTTTCTATCGTTGTTCCTAGAATTGTTTTAGGAAATTATTAGAAATGGCAAAAATACCTTTCTATTAATAAATTCTTTATGAAACAACAACAACATTATATTTCTTTTTTGTATGTATAAAATTTAGATTATTTGTAATGATTATTTATTTATAAATTTTATTTAAAAATTACATTTACAGAAAGTAAATTTTATTAAATGTTAAACAAAGTAATACAAATAAATATATAATGAATTGAAGTAAATTTTCGTTAGTAAAGTTTAACGGCTGTTTCATAAAGAATATCAACCTTTTCGGTACTATAAACGCATATAAGCGTCCTACGAAAGCCGTCTGTAATAATACACTATAATTGCATTTTTACAATCAATTTTTTTTTGCCAAAAATAATACATAATAAATTACAATGATAAGTATATATGGACGCATATATGCGCTCATGAATTTTCTTTTAGTCTTTCATTCGGTCACAAAGTAGTTTCAAATTATGAGAATTAAAAGTAATCGGTTAACCCTTTCAGTAGAATGAACGCATATATGCGTCTAAYGTAAACCATTTGTAATGAATTATTTCTTTTTATTATTAATTAATTTTCTGTCAAGAATTAAACATAATTTTTGCCGACGAACATGGTACATTACAATGATAAGTATAATGGACGCATATATGCGCTCATGAATTATCTTT